CAAAATGCATAACTTTGCATTTATCTACATTAAATGTCACCTGCCACTGGCTGCCCAGTCCCGTAGTTTATTCAAATCCCTTTGAAGGACCATAATATCCTGCTCACACTCTATTTACCTTACTTATTTTTGTTATCTGAACATGCAAACGCATGACTTTCAAAATTCTTTGCATTGTGTATTTAGTTGTTTAAATGACGATTAAGAGAATAAATAATAAAACATGGCATGACTATATTGTTTAAAGATATACATTCATGTTGCCAAAACAGAATCTATGAGAAAACTATAACTGTACAATGCCTTGGTATCTTCCTTTTCTCTCGTACTGTCTTTCCCTTGATTGCACTCCATTTATCCCTCCAGTTCTCTCAATGTAAAAAGACCAGATACTTCTTAAACATTTGTTTCTTTATTTTACTTTTTCTGTCTCAGTATGTACTGTCTCTATGCCATATCTATCTAAAGACATCCTTCTGTGTTTTACACATGCACCCATATATACACTACACACGACTACTATTTTAAATTCAGAGTTAAGGACCCAGTTGCACTTTTTTTTTTTTTTTGGCTGAAGAATGAAATGTCTGTTTAGTATTAGGAAAGCAGGAAATAGGTCGGGAACTGTGACGCATTAAAAACCAAAGACCAGCATACAGGGGAGATTAACCACTTTTTTGCCAAAAGGATATGCTTTACAAACTCACAGTGTAGCACCGCAAACATCTACATATTTTACTTTTTCTAGTTATCTACCAGTTTGTCTGTCTATATGTCTGTCTATCTGTTTTCACACATACATGTATGTATAAAATGTGCTTGAAAGTCAATGTAATAGATCCACTAATCAAACTCTCTTTGTGGGTATATTATATATGTCATTTAGAATATCAGGCACATTTAAGTTGTGTATTAGTAGGGTATTTCCACACAAATCAGAGTTTAACCCCTTAGTAACAATGGCTGTATAATCATTATGCACTGACTGAACAAAGCACATGTCCTTTTAAACAAATGCTTTTTAAAACTGATCTCGCTCTGATTGGTGAGATCGGGCTATTTTTGGAAGTCTCACAAGAGGAACATCACAAAATAGGTTTATGAAGGTCCCCTAAGCCATGCAATCAGCAGGCTAGCCATCTTCACGAATGCATGCCTATCAGTGGCAGGCACTTGAGGGTCCTAAAGATCTACAATCTATGCAGTGGTCATTGCAATCGTAGAATATACTGTGCTGTTACTGGAAGCCTCAGTACTGAGGATTTCCGTAACAGCTTATATAGCATCAGTGAAACAAGATAGAATCAATGTGACAGCCTATCACATCGATTCTATGCTGTATGACAGCTGATGCAGCAGTGCATGCTGGGATCATCTGTCACTGACCGAATACTAGGCTGCCTCAACATTGAGGAAATTCAGAAATAAATAATAAATGGGCCCCAGAGTGTCTGATCACTCGGGGGAGACTATCACTGTGGAGAAAAGCCTTATCTGTCAGTTACTTCTTGTCGTCACTGTGACTGGCTCTCACGGTGATCAGACTGAAGGGCAAGCTACTGAACAGTACATAGTTAGTGATAGTTAGGACTAGGGATTGATAGGGTTAGCTAGAGTTAGGGATAGCTACAGTTAGGTTTAGGGTTAACTATGGTTAAGGTTATATAGGTTTATGGCTAGGATTAGTTAGTGAAAGCTAGTGGTAGAATTGGGGTTAGGGATAAACAGTGGTTGAGATAGACAGGGTTAATCATTTACCTAAATTAAATATTTGTGCGGGGAAAAAAAAAATTTACCTGATGAATTTGGCAGAAATATGTGAGTGAGAAAACGCAATCCTATATAAAGTAGCGAGAATGGTTTTTTAATATATATATGCATACATTGTACAGCGCTACGGAATTTGATGGCGCTATATAAATAATAAAATAATAATTTATATATACAGTGAGGGGGGAAAGTATTTGATCCCCTGCTGATTTTGAACGTTTGCCCACTGACAAAGAAATAATCAGTCTACAATTTAAATGGTGGTGTATTTTAACAGTGAGAGACAGAATAACAACAAAAAAAATCAATTTATAACTTTGATATGCGTTTTTCTGGATTTTGTTTTTGTTATTCTGTCTCTACCTTTTTCCCTCACTTTGTGTATATATATATATATATATATATATATATATATATATATATATATATATATATATATATATATATATATATATATATATATATATATTAAAATATAGCATGCCAAGATGGCAGGAAATTCAGTTGGGAATATTTTGTCCCAAAAAGGACACGGGCCTACTTAAGTTCAGATGTCATATGATTAACCCTAGTAGGCGTACCTGAGGTGGCTAGGCAGGGGTATTTTTTATTGGTAACCTAGCCTCTGGATGGGAGTGTTGGAATTCGTTCTTTGTTGCGGGTGGACAATTGCATGTCCATCCCCTTATCATATTTAATTTCCTTCACCTAAATCCCATGAGTCAGGTCTGATGGAGAAATTAGGTAATATCCTGGTTATTAAATTAATTGCCCCCACCCACCATCTATGGTTTGGGGCTGGAGGAAGACACCAGGTAATAAGTAGCCCTCCTTTGCTGTTATTTATTTTAAAACTTCACCTATCCAGCCACTCATTTTTAGTTACAATAATATTCAAACTGGATTGTCAATACGGGGTTTTGGTTCCTCCTGGTACGGAATTTCAGAGTGCAATAATTATTATCCATCATTTCGTGTGATTTACACTTTGATATTGTTTTTATTAGTGAGCAGCTACTGGCTCACTATTTAGTGGAAATGCCCCCACTTGCGGCAATGGAGGTTTAAATTCACTCTTGTAGTTATGTGGGTGTCATATTGACCCACAAAGGCTTATTTATTTATCATTTACACTTTTTGATGTGGTAGTTGGTTAGCGAGCACTGGCCCACCACCACATGATTAACCTGTCCCTGACAGCACTCCAATGTTTTTTAACTATTTGCCCACTGGCTGCTAGCACTGCAAATAGTACTCCAAATTATCGTTCATTTACAAATGTGCATCCTGCTGCATCAAATTGGTTCTAATCAAGGGTGGATCTGGGAGAGGGGAGCACTTACCCAGGTGCAGCAGTGGGTACCAGAAAATATATAAAATTATTTATATTTTCTCCCCCTACATTTGTGGAACCAGCTGCTGTAAGCGCTGAGAGAGCAGTGATATGGTGTCATATCCCTGCCACTTCCACACAGCAACCAGTACCAGTGAAGCGTCCTGAGAGAACGTGGTAGCTCTCAGGACTTTGGTTTCAATGGCACTCGAGTGTACTACCAAAGATGGGTGGGGTGGGAAAATATTACATTTCTTTATAGATTTTCTGGATACCTGTTAGGGCTATCTCAGGAGCAGTGCTCCCCTTCTTTTTGGCAGAGCCCTTCTTGAACTCGGGTCATGGACCTACCTTTGATCCCAAACTAATTTAAAATCAGTGTTTTTACATATTCAGAATCCTATATGTACTGGGTTTTATGCTGTTTTAAATAAGACAGCGTAAAAATTTTTTTTCATCTGTTCGACTGAATTCTAACCAGAATTAGTCTTAGTAAATATGAGAATTGCCATTCTGGTTGGAATTCACACTTTTATGAATTAACCTTGTTATACTCACCAGCTGTCAATCAAAGAACATGTCATGTTATTTCTTGGTTTGGTTAGCTCAGTTCAGTGGAACTAAACTCAAGAGTCAACAATTGCTCAGTGCACCTGCCTTGTAAAGACTTCACATTGAGCTGCATCGGTAAGGTATGTCTGCAATTGGACAGCCCCAGCAAGCCTGGGTGAGGTTAGAAAGAGAGGGCTCGCAATGGCTTTATACATTCTAATGAGAAATGCAAGTTTGCTTTGGTGATATACCATGATTTATGTATTTTTACCGGCAGATTTGCACAGTGGATTGTCCCTTTAAGCTTATTCTATTCTGTATGAAAAATATTAATTCTTTCCTTGGTTTTTATCTTTGCATTTTTTAATCTTTTATTTATAATAATTATTTACATGCAAAAACTGGAGATAAATTTGAGTAGAATTGATGTAAAGGTGAACAGACATTCATAGTGCCACATGCTTTCACATAACACTTTTTACAGTGTGGATCTCAATAATACACTAGTATTATTTAGCAAAGGATCATGTTAGCAGAAGATAGATACATGTTCCTTGCCTTCCCCCATGCATGGGTTGCATACTTAGGGAGATAGTAATACCCTGTGCTGTATCACGTTTTCTGTTTATACTAATAGTTTAAAGATACATATTTGCAGATTTCAAAACAGCATGTAATGGCTTATAGACTGACATTAGCAGTAAGGCGTAACTTTGTAAACTGGAAATCAATCAGAGTTAATACTTTGGCGATTATGGAAAGCATTTATCTATGATTCTCTTTTTTATGATATTAATGTTTTTAACATTTGTGATACTTTTGTGTATTTGTATATACGTATGTTTTCTTCATGCGTGTTTGATATATCACCTTTTGTTTAATTTATTGTGATGTATAATTCTGTAAGCTTGTTGGCTTTGTATTTGAACTATGAATATATTTCCTGTGATGGGATATTATTTGCAGTAAAAGAGTTAATTTGATGTAGTGTTACCTGTGGGATTATATAGGTTAGTTAGCATTGACTAGCAATACCTTGCCTCAGGAAAAACTTGATCTTGAAGAAGTATGTTTAATACGAAACGCATTGCTTTTAAGTTCACAAAGTTCCTCCACACGGCTAAAGTGAGCTACTATACTGTTTTGCAAGTTGCGAAAATGTATTTTTTTTTTCTCATTAATCTTTTTATTGGTACAAGCAAAGTTCAGACATTGTGCATCGCAGTGCACTTATGGCATGCATACCCAACACAGTCACAGCTGTGGCTATCGTTTCCCCACATGTTTAGTCCAGCATCCTCCTTGTGCAAGTTTGAAGCCAATGTTGCTTCCCAAGTAGGTGCGCTCACTTTGGACTTTTCTGATTGTGGTGCGACTCGTGTCCTTTTTGTGTTGGTTCGGTGTGGGTAGGAGTGCTGCCTGTAATGCGCGTCTGACAAGCTGTCCATGTTTCATTTAGTTTTATAACTTTAAACTGGGGGTGGGGGGATACAGAAAGAAAGGTTGGGGGTGCCCTAGACAACACTCTATACATATGTTGATTGAGCCCTGTATAACCATGTGTAATCTTGTCACTGCTCCTGTCTAATCCTTTGCCCTATGATAGTTTAGGCATCGCAGTACTGCGGCTCCCATTCTACTGCCTATCACCCCGCTGGCCAGATACTCCATTCCCTTTCGTATCTCTCACTGCAACCGTTTACTCTACTGGACATTTTTTCATATGCGCTAATCGTATCCATTTTTTGTGTTATGGCATCTGCTGCTGGGATTTTGTTGCTCTTCCAGTTGCCAGCCAGCACAATTTTCGCTACCGTTAGAATGTTTAGCACTACTTTCCTATGTGGATGAGTGGCCATACCGAGTGCTATGTGAAGTATGTAGTGTACCGGCTTCCTGGGGAGAGTGATACCTGTCCTGCCTAGTAGGAGCGAATGGATTTTCCCCCAGTAATCAGTCAGTAGGGGGCACGCCCAGAAAATATGGAATATGGTTCCCTCTTCTGTGTTGCATCTCCAACATTTCCCGGACGTGCCCGGGTACATGCGTGCCAGCCTGTGTGGTACCAAGTACCACCTCATTAGTACCTTGCAATATGCTTCCCAGAGTGTGAGGCTTTGCGATGCTTTTTTCGTGGTTTCCAGAGCCATCAGCCACTCTGTCTTGGAAATTTGGAGTCCTATGTCCTCCTCCCACAGATTCATATATGTAGGTTTATCGGGGGCCACCGAAGTGACTAGCGCGTTGTAGCATGCTGATAGTGGTTTGATTTGCTTGTGGAAGAGTGCCTGTTTAAGCGTTAGGTGGGGTTTGGAGGAGTGGGTGGTGCATAGTTGGATGTGTGAGTGCACTATATTTTTTATTCGAAGGTATAGAAATATATCCCTCGCTGGCAGCTGTAGCTCCCTTTGCAGGATGGGGAATTGCTTAATTTTGCCCCCCTCTAGTATGTCTTGAACCCGGGATTCACCCCTCACTTTCCAGCGGCTCATCGGCAGGTCTGGGGAGAGTATTTCGAAAATGTATTTTTAAATTGTTTGAATAAAATAAATGTTTTTTAGACCCACAACAGTATCTCTTTGATTATGGCACACTATATTTACATTTTGCTTCACTGCTGAATACAACTCTGGACCACCTCGGTTCAAAGTCCTGAATGTGGGTTACCAATTAATATATTGCACAAAGTAACAAACAATAGTTTAGGTAATTAGCTGATAAGACTAGATTTTTAAAATTATTGTTATTATTGGTATTTATACAGCGCCAACTAATTCCGCAGTGCTTTACAATATTATTGAAAAGAAATCTAATAAAGTATTGTCAAGTTGTAAAAATTATTAAGAGCTATTAGAAAAAGAGCTGCCTCGGAAAAGCACAATGGCTACTCTCTGTGACAGAAAAGGCCACTAATTTTCTAATTAAGTCACACTTATTTTGGGGTATGACGTAAAGCTATCAATGGTTCCTTTGATTCAAATGTCCAGTCCCCATGCAAGCCTTGTCAGTAGACCTTTTGTTTGCATGTCACCTGTCACCCTTTGACAGTGAAATCTGTTGTTTCACTTTTCTCTTTCATGCTATTTTTATATATCAGTTTGCAGGAGCAAAGGTGTAATTACTCTCTAGGCCACATCTTGCCTGAACTAATAAAGACTATGACTGAAAATTGTAGATTATGCTAGCTTTAGTGTACCTATAATCTTAATTTTATTAATGACAGGAGGCAAATATTTGCTTAAGTCTCTCTTTACTAGAACTCCACAGCAGCACATTAACACAGAGAGAAAACAACCAATCAGAAAAAGAGTTAGGTACAATAAAACTCCCCTCCCCACACATAACTTCCTCTTTCAAGCTCAGCGACAAAACAGAACAAAAGGCAGAGAAAAGTCCTAGGATATAATGAATGCAATGACATCCTCCATCCGAGAAGAAAAGTCAAACATGGCACCACGGACGGACTGTAAACTGAAACGAGAGAAACAGAATTGCAAGGGCTGGTTAGATGATGAACAAACATGCAGGCACCCAACAAACATGCAGGCACCCAGTGCCACAACTAGAATTACTGTAACATACAGAGATCCCAACCCTTTATGTAAGAAGCAGTAACATGAACAAGTGACAGGTAGCAGAGACAGCAAGCAGAGTTGTATACACACCTGATGTACCTAAAAATGTAGACAAAATGACCAAGCAAGGGAGGGATAAAAACTGGGAGGGAAATGTTCGCCTCCTGTCATAAATAAAATTAAGATAAAGCTAACATAATCTACAATTTTATAACATGACAGGAAGCTTCATATTTGCTGTTTTAACGCTCAGCCCCCAAAAAATCTAACGATGCTTGTGTCGCTGGTAAATAATCTTGGAGATAAAGAATGGACCATTCAACCGCAAGATGTGATGGCAGATTGCTTGAAGAAGGTGCCGGTCGTTGATGATACTCCAAGTGCGGACAAAACCAAAACGCTGTTAGATTCGTTGTACTTGGGGAGCTGTGATCTGGTTCTGTCAAGGCGGTCGACATACTGTAATGCCGACCTGTTGACCATTCTCAGCCAGATGCAATAGTTTGAAAGATACTGGTTGGCTTGGTCTTGCGAAAGAAACTGCCAACAGTACTCGACCTTGATGAGGAAAGCGGCTTCTCTGATTGTCCAAGGGTCATTCGTTGATGTGGATGCGCAAGCAGTTCTCCAATCCCCATGATGTGCGTCTGAATCCACTATATAGATTTGGACAGGGCCGAATGGATCCTTTTCGTTCCCCCTTGATCTACAAAGCGAGTGGTCTTATCCGAGAAAAAAAATCTACCACGCGATCCAGTGTGCGGAGTGGCTCCTGGCCGCACTTTAGATGTCTCCAGTACTCGAAGCGGATTGATTACATCTGTGACTGTGGTAGACAAAGAAACTCCTAAGGATGCGTCTATCCAGAATCCCAAGAACCTCACTTGTGAAGCTCGATTTCCTTGGTAATCCTCAAGATACGAACAAGGGGAGTGTAAATAGAGGTTGGAATCTTTGTCCGAAGGGGTCGTCGCAGAAGAGCGATAAGAAGTCCGGATCCATGAGGTAATGGGAGCCTTTCTAACTGAGGATGAGCTGTCACTGGTCATAGCCGCTTGGTGGAACACAAGGGTCAAATTTGGGCTGACGGGTAGACAGGCAGGCCTGGTGTAACTGGTCGTTCCACCTGGAGTGTGGCAACGTTAGTAAACGGAACCTGCGCTTACAGAATATGGTGGTTTAAGGCAGTGTGTAAGCTTGTCCTCCTTCTTTCAAACCAGGAGGTTGGAGCTGTAGACCCTTTCTCCGGTGTCCAGCGGGAAAACCAAATCGGTCTGGGTTCCGGTGTCTACCAGTGGGACTGTTGTCCGCATAGGGAAAGAGTGAAGTAGTCCGAACTGGCAGATGTACTACCTCGCTGTTGTTCAGCCCTGCCAAAAGGGACCCGAGGAGGGTCTGATGGAACGCTCATCACCCTGAAGATAATTTGCATAACTGAGTGAGGGATATAGGGCCATGTGTTTGCGAATTTCTTAAAAATGTAACTCTCAAGCCTAGGGTCTAGGCCTAGGAACCCAGTTCTATGAACTCGAAGTCTGAAATCTTGGCATCAATGCGAATACCCCCTATCTTCGTTCAGTGCCCCGCGACATATTAGCGCTGCTTATTATGCATATAGAACGTAAGGCCCCTTCTCCAACAACAGATGAAACCAGTTTTGCAAAAGGGCTTCATCTGCCAGAGGCAGGATCTGTGCCAGGGTTCCAGAAACATTGGATAACTTGACCTGTGCCAGCCTCAGGCCTTGGTCAATACGACCCTGTGTCGGTCGTGATATCGAACTCTGAGGTCATTGCGATCTAATCGAGTAGTGATGACCTGGGGTACCCCACTCGTCATCCTTCATGTGCCACCTGGTTTTGTGATCTACGAGTCCCCTAATGTTCTGATGTGCCGGGGCCAGCTTGGATGACCTAAGGTGTCGAATGGAATGCGGATTGAAGAGTGTTATCCTTATCGAATCCACACAGCTTTCTGGTATATTATTGCAGAATCTGAGTGATTTCAGGTAACGACTATTCCCCCTTTGGTCCATTACTGGCTTGTTCTACTAGAGTTCATTATCCTTCTTTTATCTTAGTGGTTTTTAGATCTTACTAGCCGACATTGACTTCTAAAGGTATTCTCTTCATACATCCCGCTGGGATTTACATCCATTCTAGTAGTGTATGACTCTTGCAGTTTCCTAGTGTCTCAAGAGTTACTCAGAGTGCACGACAGGCTTTAGAGGAGTTTACAGGCTTCTACCTATATAGAATGTTTTTAGCCTGCACTCCTTCTTAATACTTACCCAAGCTGCTTGCATTTTTTCTGCATATAGCGTTACTCTCTGCAAGTACCTCTAGGATTAATAGCAATCTCTTTTCACCCTACAGTTGTACTTTCATTAGGTTCCCCAGATTTTGGGCATTTACCAACAGCAGAGATACCATGAGATAACCTGGCTGGAATTCGATACTATTATACTTCTTTTAAATCCTCATTAGCAGATTTCATACCTTAGTGCCATCGTACTATCTGTTAGTGTCAGTGATTATCTGTTTGTATACCACTAGGTTACTCGTATTAGGGTAACAGTTTTAGCACCTATTTTATGTTCACCTTTTGTACAATAGCACGTTTGTTTTTTTTTCTGTATCACATTTACTTTTAATAAAATGTATTTATTTTTCTTTAATTGTAATAGTCAAGTGCTTTGTATGTTAGTTCTCTTTATAGATTTAGACACTTAGTCTTGAATTAAGAGTTGACTATCTATACACACTACAGAAAAACTAGTTACGGCGCACTCAAACTTGTAAATTAATAACTAAGAAGGCTAACGCCTATCTAAGAATAAATATGGGGATTTAGTTCCACCATATGGCCATATGATGTTAAGCCCACTACTACTTCAAAGTACCCCAATATCAGTGGGTCCTACACTAATAACAAAAATGTGGGAGATAAATTAAATAGTACTAGTGCTAAACATAAGCTACAGTGTATTGAATTCATTTCTTTGTAAGAGCAAAGTGAGTATACAATAGTGATAAAAGCAATTAAAACAGTGTAACAACTAAACAATTAAAGTGTTGGTGCTTGAATGAGTATACTCACATTTGCAGATAATATCTGTGCTGCATAAAGAAAATAATAAAAGTGACATGACTATAAAACTCCTCCTATTTATACACACCTGTGGCCACCTCTAAAGAGGTCTCTCACATTTTTGTTATTAGCGTAGGACCCACTGATATTGGGGTACTTTGAAGTAGTAGTGGGCTTAACATCATATGGCCATATGGTGGAACTAAATCCCCATATTTATTCTTAGATAGGCGTTAGCCTTCTTAGTTATTAATTTACAAGTCTGAGTGTGCCGTAACTAGTTTTTCTGTATGAATTTTGGTCACTGCGGCAGCACCTTTCATGTATACGGGTGTGCCCCCAATCTCTCCTTTGTGCAATTATATTTGGAATCCAGACCAGATTCCTTTGGGGTTAAGCACCCCGCCCAGGCCCCCCAGCTTCAGAGACCTCTTTAGAGGTGGCCACAGGTGTGTATAAATAGGAGGAGTTTTATAGTCATGTCACTTTTATTATTTTCTTTATGCAGCACAGATATTATCTGCAAATGTGAGTATACTCATTCAAGCACCAACACTTTAATTGTTTAGTTGTTACACTGTTTTTAATTGCTTTTATCACTATTGTATACTCACTTTGCTCTTACAAAGAAATGAATTCAATACACTGTAGCTTATGTTTAGCACTAGTACTATTTAATTTATCTCCCACATTTTTGTTATTAGCGTAGGACCCACTGATATTGGGGTACTTTGAAGTAGTAGTGGGCTTAACATCATATGGCCATATGGTGGAACTAAATCCCCATATTTATTCTTAGATAGGCGTTAGCCTTCTTAGTTATTAATTTACAAGTCTGAGTGCGCCGTAACTAGTTTTTCTGTATGAATTTTGGTCACTGCGGCAGCACCTTTCATGTATACGGGTGTGCCCCCAATCTCTCCTTTGTGTATCTATACACCCTAGGCACACTACCTTTGCTCTCTTACGTTACATTTGGGGTTACCCCCCGTTCTCTCAGTGTACCTAATATTTTGGCTCTATTCTTGTTCTTTTGTTTTCACACAGCTGTCAATGTCGGTACCTGAATTAGGTGGGTGAGCGGAAGATAAAATTCAGGACGGCATCCGTAAGTGATTCGTGTACAGAGGGCGAATCCTCCTCAACTGAATCTTGCTCTCTATCTTCATCTTCGGGGGTTTAGAGGTCCTCCTGCAATTAATCCCAAACTTTGCTCATGGCCAGGGGATGCAGTACTGTCCTGGGGCTCCAGTCTTTTCTCACGCCTAGCGCATACCGTGTACTTGTAGATCTGGGGTTGAGGGTCTACCCTCTTCCAGTAGCGCTTGCGAGATAGTGCATGTGTGCTTTGAAGGCATCAGAAACCCTTGCTTCCTCCGGTGGGAGAAACTGCCTGCGGAGGTTGTCAGTAATGGCATGAGTAATAATAATAAAATTGAGAGATTGCCTGCTCAGTGCAATGCTGATTATGAAAATAGTAAACATAGAAACATAGAAACATAGAATGTGACGGCAGATAAGAACCATTCGGCCCATCTAGTCTGCCCAATTTTCTAAATACTTTCATTAGTCCCTAGCCTTATCTTATAGTTAGGATAGCCTTATGCCTATCCCACGCATGCTTAAACTCCTTTACTGTGTTAACCTCTACCACTTCAGCTGGAAGGCTATTCCATGCATACACTACCCTCTCAGTAAAGTAATACTTCCTGATATTATTTTTAAACCTTTGTCCCTCTAATTTAAGACTATGTCCTCTTGTTGTGGTAGTTTTTCTTCTTTTAAATATAGTCTCCTCCTTTACTGTGTTGATTCCCTTTATATATTTAAATGTTTCTATCATATCCCCCCTGTCTCGTCTTTCCTCCAAGCTATACATGTTAAGATCCTTTAACCTTTCCTGGTAAGTTTTATCCCGCAATCCATGAACCAGTTTAGTAGCCCTTCTCTGAACCCTCTCTAAGGTATCAATATCCTTCTGAAGATACGGTCTCCAGTACTGTGTACAATACTCCAAGTGAGGTCTCACCAGTGTTCTGTACAATGGCATGAGCACTTCCCTCTTTCTACTGCTAATACCTCTCCCTATACAACCAAGCATTCTGCTAGCATTTCCTGCTGCTCTATTACATTGTCTGCCTACCTTTAAGTCATCAGAAATAATCACCCTAAATCCCTTTCCTCATATGTTGAGGTTAGGACTCTATCAAATATTCTGTACTCTGCCCTTGGGTTTTTACGTCCAAGATGCATTATCTTGCACTTATCCACATTAAATGTCAGTTGCCACAATTCTGACCATTTTTCTAGTTTACCTAAATCATTTGCCATTTGGCTTATCCCTCCTGGAACATCAACCCTGTTACATATCTTAGTGTCATCAGCAAAAAGACATACCTTACCATCAAGACCTTCTGCAATATCACTAATAAAAATATTAAAGAGAATGGGTCCAAGTACAGATCCCTGAGGTACCCCACTGGTGACAAGTCCAAGCTTCGAATATATTCCATTAACTACAACCCTCTGTTGCCTGTCACTCAGCCACTGCCTTACCCATTCAACAATATTGGAATCCAAACTTAAAGATTGCAGTTTATTGATAAGCCTTCTATGTGCAACAGTGTCAAAAGCCTTACTGAAATCTAGGTAAGCAATGTCTACTGCACCACCCTGATCTATAATTTTAGTTACCCAATCAAAAAAATCAATAAGATTAGTTTGGCATGATCTCCCTGAAGTAAACCCATGTTGTCTCTGATCTTGAAATCCATGTGTTTTAGATGTTCATCAATCCTATCCTTTAACATGGTTTCCATCACTTTCCCCACTACTGAAGTAAGGCTTACTGGCCTATAGTTGCCCGACTCCTCCCTATTACCTTTCTTGTAAATGGGCACAACATTCGCTAACTTCCAATCTTCTGGGACTACTCCTGTTAACAATGATTGGTTAAATAAATCTGTTAATGGTTTTGCTAGTACACCACTAAGCTCTTTTAATAGCTTTGGGTGTATTCCATCAGGTCCCATTGACTTATTTGTCTTTACTTTTGACAGTTGAAATAGAACCTCTTCCTCTGTAAACTCACGTGTAATAAATGACTCATTTATCCTTTTTCTCAACTGAGGTCCCTTTCCTTCATTTTCATCTGTAAATACAGAACAAAATATTCATTGAGGCAGTCAGCTAGACCTTTATCCTCTTCTACATACCTTCCTTCTTTTGTTTTAATCTAACTAATCCTTGTTTTACTTTTCTTTTCTCATTTATGTATCTAAAAAAAGTTTTATCCCCCTTTTTTACTGACTGTGCTATTTTCTCTTCTGTGTGTGATTTGGAAGCTCTTATAACTTGCTTAGCCTCTTTCTGCCTAATCTTATAGATCATTTTGTCTTCCTCACTCTGGTTTTTTTTATAATTCCTAAATGCTAACTTTTTGTTTTTAACTATTTTGGCTACATCTGTGGAGTACCACAGTGGTTTCTTGAATTTTTTGCTTTTACTGACAAGCCTAATGCAATTTTCTGTTGCCTTCAATAGTGCAACTTTTAAATAATCCCATTTCTCTTGGACTCCATTTAAATTGCTCCAGTCTGATAATGACTCCTCTACCCATATTCTAATTTTAGAAAAGTCTGTTTTTCTAAAGTCTAAAACTTTTGTTTTTGTGTGGTGTGACTCAGTCAATGTTCTTATATTAAACCACACTGACTGATGATCACTGGATCCAAATCTCCATTTGTTAACACTAAATCTAGTATGGCCTCTTTACGAGTTGGCTCCTCAACAACTTGTTTTAGAGACAATCCCAGTAGGGAGTTTAGAATATGTGTGCTCCTGGCACAAGTAGCTAATTTTGTTTTCCAATTTACATCAGGAAGATTAAAGTCACCCATGATGATAACTTCATTGTCATTTTAGCTATTTCCTCAACTAGTAGATTATCTAACTCTTCAATTTGTCCTGGGGGCCTATAAATCACATCTACACGAGTTACTGTGTGATTACCAAATTCTAACGTAGCCCAAACGGACTCTATGTTTGCCTCACTAACTTTTATTAGGCTAGATTTTATGCTATCCTTCCCATACAAGGCCACCCCTCCCCCTTTCTTGCCTTCCCTATCTTTCCTATATAAAGAGTACCCTGGTATTGCTATGTCCCAGTCATTTTTCTCATTGTACCATGTCTCAGTAACAGCGACTAAATCTACACTATCAGTTGCCATTATTGCCACAAGTTCATGGATCTTATTCCCTAAACTGCGAGCATTTGTAGACATGACTCTAAGCTTATCATTTTTTAACACACTTGCTACAGGCACCTTCTGTCCTTGTTTTGGGGGACAATTGGATTGATGTTTTATCACCCTTTTGCCCCCCCCTCCTAGTTTAAATACATCCTAGCAAAACCTCTGAACTGCTCACTGAGAACATTTGTTCCCTTTTGAGAAAGATGCAAACCATCTTTTTTGTACAGCTTATCTCCATTCCAAACAGAGCTACCATGATAAATAAAGCCAAATCCTTGCTCCCGACACCATTCACCAAGCCACAAATTAAAGTCCCTAATACGCATCCGCCTGTCGTTCTGAGTGTTATGCACAGGCAGAACTTCAGAGAATGACAGTGTGGAAGCAACCTGCCGTATATCATTGGCAAAAACACTAAAACTTCCTTAACCTCTGAAACCTCATTGCAAGCCAAGTCATTTGTCCCTAGATGGACAAGTACATCCAATTCCCCTTTCTGCTTTGCTTGCTTAACAATATTACAGATACGTCTCCTGTCTCTGTGAGCAGTAGCTCCAGGAAGACACCTCACAAGACCACCATAGTATATATCTGTACTAATTGGGGCTCACCCAGTATGAGTAACAAACCTCCAGGAGTAGATCATATAGGGAGGTACGGTGGCACCGCCAAAGCAGGCCAATCATAGGGGTTGTAGCAGTAAACACCAGATCAAACAGGCCATACTCGATAAGGTATCAGGGAAGTGAGAATGTGGTGGGAGGTTCTTCCCCAGTAATACCTCAGGGGGTATGTCCCGTAAGGAGGTATAGTGGCCCGGGCAACGCAGACCCATAATAGGAGCTGTAGCGGAGACAGCCAACTCAAGCAGGTAGACCAGCTGTAAGATGCAATGTAGTTGTTCCTTCCAATCTTCCAGCTGGTATGTGAGGAAGGCAGCGAGATGTACTGTAAGAGCTGTAACATCAGCAGTAAAACTACAGTATGTAGTTCATGAGGGGGCACACCCTCTAATAAGCCATCAGATCCTGTTCTGGTAAGAACCTGTAGGATAACCAAAGTTGACAGTAACCAGAATATGTATCCATGTTGGACATAGGTAGGGGATGGGCTCCCCCTCCAATAAATGAAACAGTATCCTGTACTGCAGTAAACTGTAACGTAAGCAGTAATATGTAACAAATCAGCATCGGGCCGAGTTATGAGAGAGGCTCACCCTCTAATGGAGAAATAGGTATCGATGTCAGCAGCGGGCTGCGTCTATGGGAGGGCCGCACCCTCTAATAATGTAAATGGTATCAGTATAAGTGTCAAGCTGATTTTATGGGAGGGTCTCACCCTCTAACAGCGAAATTAGTAACGAGATCAGTAGTGGGCTGAGTATACGAGAGGGCAGCACCCTAATAATGTAATAAGCAACCCTATCAGCATCTGGCGAGGGCGGCACCCTCTAAATAATGTAAATAGTATCCATATGAGCATCAGGCTGAGTTTATGAGATTTTTGGCTTCATTTTTTATGAGATTTTTGGCTTCATTTTCCATGAATTTTTTTTTTTTAATATACCAGATGTGCGTTTTCAAAATTACGCATGTCTGGGTTATATATGTGTCATTCTTCTTCTTTTTCAATGCACACTGTGAATTGCCATGATGCATAGCCTTTTTTACATCACATATTGTATATATATATACACCAAACATTAAGTCTGATACTTTGAGTTGGGCCACTGCTCGAAGACTCCTATGCGTCCCAAGGTGGAACACACAACATGATTGATGACATCACAGACGCACGCGGAATGACATCAAATCCTGCGTAAAGTAAAGACCTGCGATGGAGAAAACGCTGTTCCAGCTGCCGAACATTAATCTTTAAAGCACCAGTATATAAGAACATGTACACTGATCCCTGAGGAAGTCCCAACGGATGAAACACGTAGGACTTGTGTATACTTTCTTTTATTTTGTATTTTATTTGTAAATTTTATTATATATTTTACCTCCCTGCCTGTGGAAACACTCTGGAGCTTCCTGCTACCCTTTGAAGTCCGGAAACCACACTGGTTGTGGTGATGTGCCTTTTTATATTTGATATCCTGTAAGTGCAATGTTGTGCAATAAATGTGTTATATTTTAATGCCATCTGCACTATATATATATTTTTTCTTCTCCATGCCACTGAGTTACTAAGAAGATCGTACTTGAAGATATTCCATCTAAATCCCTGACCCTATTTATGGGAGAAATGCCTGAATACACATCAATCTAGTGAGTTTTCTACCACACCCACCCTGATATTTACCCTTACACACCATATGTATTTTTATTTACTTTACAGAATATGTTGTAAAGTTTTCTCAGGTTGTATAATATTTTTATTATTCACCCATTTGGTGTTTGGTTATTTGCAGTCTGTATCTATTCAGTCTTCCTAAGACCCTTTTTGGTTGTCCTTTTTTTTGTCTTAAACTATTCCAGTGTCTTGAGAGGGAACATTTTTTTCCTCAAAGGGTCTACTTGCATTCTGGGAGCATATAGTGAACGATTCTTGTGTTTTTTCTAAGTTTATGAGACGGCCGCACCCTCTAATGATGTAATTAGTCTCCATATCAGCATCAGACTTAGTTTATGATAGGGGCGTACCCACTAATAATGTAATTAGTATCCATCCTAGCATCAGGCTAAGTTTATGAGAGGGCCGCACCGTCTAACAAAGAAATTAGTATCTGCGTTGCAATCGTCTGTAACCCAATAATAATAAACATGGCTGCTGGGATCTCGCGCAAGTGTGTGGGAGCCAAGTTGGCTGCCAGTTACCCGAGCAGGTGAATAGGACAAGTGTCACAAACAGAATAGCTGAGGCCCATATATTACGGCAGTGGCAAGAAAGTGTATATAAATCTATGTATATAAATAGCCAAGCTGGGGTCGTCCAGTAGCAATGGCACAGTTAGAGCAGGCTAATCCTGAGGTACAGTCAAGGGAGGCCAATCATGGGACACAGTCAGAGCAGGCCAATCATGGGGCACAGTGAAAGCAGGCCAATTATGAGGCACAGACAGAGCAGGCCAATTATGTAGTAGCAAATCTGAGCACCAACCTACAGGGGGAGCTATGCTCATATAGATTAGTGAATATATATATGTCCCCCAAGGAGATATCCCAGTTGCTGGGATGGGTAAGGGGTGGAGGGAGGGTGTGTCCCCCCCTGTGCATTATTAGTATACAGGCCGTAATGAGTATAATAAACGAATTTGCATTTTAATTTATATGTAAACGAACAGAAGTCTGTTGTTTCTGAGCCACAAGACTGTCCTGACTTTCTGGTCAGTGTTGTTGAGAAAACAGTGAGATTAACTAGGCCAAGCCAGATGTAATAAAGAAAGCAGGGTTACTATGCAGACAAAATACAGTACAAAGAAAAAGCAGCCACGAGGCGACCTCACGTCAAAATGGAAACTCCGGGAGCTGCAGCCTCCATGTGGCGCCCCTGCTCCCCTCGCACCAATTGCATGCGGGCCGTGGCTCGGTGATGGGAGGTGGGTGCAGCAAGGGGAGAGAGGGTCCCTGTCGGGTCCCACACGATGGCGCGAGGTAATAAGCCGCGGCAACCACATGTGGGGCTGCCGGAGATGTACTTCGCGGCCACGGTGCTTGGGGAATCAGGGGAGGGGGCTAGCAAGCAGTCTACGAGCTAGTACGAAATAACAGACACCAATGCAAAAGACAGGATAGTAGGAATAGCGTTAGAATAGTACAAAATAACGGACACACACAAAAAAATCCAATGCAAATGACAGGATAGTAGTACTATCGTTAGAATAGTGATGGAAGAAAAAGGAGGGGAAAATAGCTAACAGAAAAAAACTTAATCCCCAAGATGAGACACCAAACATCAGCCTCAATAGAATATAGATATAATTAAATCTTTGAAACAGAAAAGCAACAAACAGACCTTTGAAACAGACCTAAGCAAATATGAAGCCTCTTGTCATGTTATAAAATTAACGTTCTTGGAAGCACACCTGTAAATTCCTTTTTATACAAGAGTATAAATTACCCAGCGACTTCAGGTGTGTTGATAACTAAATTTGAACTAAACACTGTAATAGACATCAATGTTTTACATTGTCCAAATAAAGGGGCATCAAATATGCACCAAAACCATAACACTAACAGGGTTATTCACTAAAGTCCAAAACCTGCCAGAAGGGTTCACTATGTGACACCTGGTCAGTGCTTGTTAGCCAGCTGTCACATTACAAAAAGTTACATAAATAATTAGAAAGCCTCTAGGGACAATAGGACCACCATTTTACTATACGGAGGGTGGGGATAGGTTAAAACCTTGCACCCACCTGAATGTGGCATGCTATATAATAAATTGGGGTGGGGGGATGGGGAGGGTGCTCTAAATTATTAAACAATGGAGGGTGGTCATCCATTGTCCACCCCTCAATTAGTGAGAAGCCCTCCCTATTGGTTCCCCCCAAATAGTGAGAAACCCTCCCTATTGGTTCCCTAATCCCATAGCCACGATTAATTAAAAATAAATAACCCTACACTAAAAAACAATACCTGTAAAAACAAATTATACTTACTATTTGAATTCCTCTTTCTTCTAACTCTTCTTTTCTAAAAAAAAAGCAATTAAGTGAGGGCCAGGGGTGGACATTATTTCCTCCCAATGAATATTATTATTAGGGCCCCCACCCACTGCTGATGGGTGAAGGCTAGGGTGAGGACATTAGCTCCTTCTCATTTAATATCATAATTATAGCCCCCATTCGCTGCCAATAAGTGAGGGGCTGGGGGAGTCCAGGTTCTGCTCCTCTTACATTATAATTTTAAGTTTCAAGCAGCTGGCCATAGATAAGGGACGGGATATTTTTTTAATGTATTTAGCACGGTGGCTTTTAAGGTGTTCTCTGTATATTTAAATGATGTTAATAGTAATAAAGTATATAAAAATACAATTAAAACAACATTTCTGTTGCAGAGGCACAAATAAGGTTTTTCAATAAAGTGAGAATTATCATGAATTCTCACTCTGAGAATGTTTCTGTCAGGGTACCTGTTGGTGCTGACTCCAGGGAAGACATCCTCTCTGTTTAGGGGCTCCTTGCCCCTAGCATTTCGGCAAATTCTGGCCGTTTTCGCGCCGGCCGCGCTAGCTCCTCCCCCTTTTATGACGCGACGGCTAGCGTCGACGTCATGACGTCAGCATTACGTGAAGTGCCGGGAACCGCTATTCCGGACCTTTTGGGGGCGTGGTCTCAATTAAGGTGACAGGGTATTTAAAGGAAACCTTTACTACTGCTCATTGCCCTGTCGTGGTTCTAGCTTGCTAGTCACTCAGCGCGTTCTCTCTCTTAGTATTTTCGGTTTTGACCTTGCTTGTCTTTTGTCCTGTTGTCCTCTCCTCTCCTTTGACTCGGCTTGTATCTCGCTTACCTGTCCTCCGGCTCCCTCGACCTCGGCTTACCTTTTGACTATTCTTGTTTTGTCCATACGTTAGTCCGGCCATTCTAAGGTCCGGTATACGTACCTCCTTCTGTCCGCACTCTGCGTATTGGATCCCTGTCAGTATCCTGACAGTTTCACAATAATATTCTTTCTGTGTAGCCTGTACACTTTCCTCTCTTTTCAAAGCTATGGTGTAGTCAACACTTATTTCAAACAGGCAAAGTAACTCCTTTAATGCTATTTACTTGCAATCTGTTTGGGAAAGAAAAAGAGTTTGGGATTTATTTTCCCCATATAGTGACTAAAGGGTTAGCTTGCTGGCAGGATGTGGGTAATCTGGGAGGAAGGATTGGTGTAGGAGGGGAAGGCGTTTACTCTGTGAGTTATTTTTGTGCTGACTGATGGTTTAAGGATACACAACATACTTATCCAAGTTCTGCATATTTAATAAAATGAGACACATGTTTCTGCACATGATGTCTCTGCACCAAACATAACTGTCAATTTATGTGACTTCATCCAATCTTATGATTGCACTAGTATATTATTGTTTTGATGAATGTGTCTATAAACTGTGTTATCAACATATGGCAGCCTAGATTATTGTGAACTGGGCACAACAAGCCTAAAGAGTGTAAGACTTGGTCATGGTATGCCAGGAGACAGGAGAATGTGTCAGAGATGTAGAATGTAATAGTGTACATGCAAAGTTAGTTAGAGACCTCCATTTAACCCACATCCTTGATTGGCCAAATGCCCAGAAAGATCCCTGGAATATTACCTATGATAAAGTTTGTCAATCATATATACTTTGATATATCACAATTTTGTAAACAGTATATATAGTGAGTGTGTTGTTTCTACAAAACTGCAATGATTTTAATGGTCCTTTAATATACTGTTTATACATATATGCCAAGGGTGCCAAAATATACATAATCAGATGCAGATGATGTAGAATTTCATTAATATCCTGCTTGGCAGGCCATAGAATGGTGAACTGTCATGAAAACTGTAATTCTGAAACATCTTCATTTTGGGCAACCCTGCATTATATTGCATTACACACAGAATGATTAGACTGGCTGAGAATTCCAGGAAGTGTGGTCCATAAATATCTGCGGCTTTTGGCTGACTGAAGAAAAAAATCAGATATTGTTTACAAATTATCTGCAGTTTTATTTTGTTATGCTCTGACTGTATATATTGTACATTAACCATATTATTTTTCTACAGAAATTTCCATAGACATTCATAGTGACTTTTGTAGATAAATCAGTTGGAAAGTTATTTTAACAGTACTCCCCAGATGCAATCTCATTAAAGAGGTGGGTGTTACAATTCTTAACACCCACTTCGGGTCAACCTGTGCTCCTCCTATGTTCTTCGTTGATTTGCCCTGCTTGTAGACATGTCCCCAAGCAGGGAAAACCTCCTTAGTGACACCGACATACAGGCTTCATCTACCTGCATGTCACTCTGTTCCTACAGTCCCTAGCTAGCGCTAGCAGCACTGACAAGGGAGTTACCATAGCAACAAAAGAGCATGTGCTGTGGTTTCTACAGGTGGGACCTGCTGTGTTCTCAATTTCTTGGCATTAAGTGTCTGCCGATGAATTGAGATTTAGTTGGGAGAAAAACCTATTTAAAAAAAAAAAAAAATTGGTCCAAATCTGTACATTTGCTAGCAAAACTGATAGCACAATGTAAAGATGGAAGTTCAAGCTCTTATAAAAGAGCTAAAATAGATTTTTTTTATTACAGGTTCCCTTTAATTCAAGGCCTTAATCAGCTATTGAGTTTTGCGTAAATAAATTCTCTTAATGAAGTACTAATATTAGTTGTCTTTGGATTTCATTGACATTCCAACATATTAAAAAAATATCGTAAGAGAAAGTAGGGAGTGAAGGTGACTGAAGTCTGAAGTTGACAAAACTTGTCAAAAGGCACAGATTCTGCCAACACATTTTTGTCAATTACCACTCAACTGCTGTGGGAATTAAGCTTCTAAATAAGTCTTGCAGGATCCTCTACAGATGTCAGTACTGTACTCACATCTCAATAAAGTGGTCTATTTACAGTGCCTCTGGTATTTTGCTCCTGCAATGTAAAACATTGCCATTTCAGAGATATGGGAATTTTTTCAATACGTGATTAAGCACAACTATAGTGGTTGTTAGAAGACAGTCACTAGATGGTACTTTTACAGTGAGAAGCAGGTCAGACTCAGTGCTTGACGTTCAATGTATTTAAGCATTGCATGAGGATGTTGAACATTCATTCAGTGCTCCTTAGAGCGGTATTGGATTCAACACTTCTCTATGAGAATAAGAGTGTGGTGCTTGCCGTGCATACTGTACTTGTCCACAGTGCTTTTCTATGAGAAGCATTGAACTGGACAAGAAGTTGAAAGATATCAACTAGCTTGCGGACTAAAAATTATGAGGCATGGGCTGAGTGTAGGTGCAGGAAAAATGATAAGTAAATGGTTATTGAGTTTTCAATTTGGAATCCTAAAACAGGGGTGGGGAGCAGAGGTGAGGTGTGCTGGGGACAGATTATATATAAAAACACACATTTCAGTGTAAATTCTCATTAAGAACATAAAATATTTTTTTTCTGTGTTAAATATGATGACTTTATCAAAGTCAAGACATTAGTAAAACAGAGTTATGTTTTGGCATGTGATCTGACTATTTCTATTTATTTTTCTATTTGGACAGTAAACAAGGATATTAAGAAGAGATAAAAATAACAAATTATTGGTTTGCCTTATGTGCCATTTTACATTACTTTCGTAGCAGCTACACATTTTGCCTATTCTATTTTTCTTTCAAAATAACATGCCATGACAAGCTTTTAGTGTGATGTAGTTGAATTACATAATATGAGCTGATAACTGCTGTTTAACATCCAGTTTATTTTGTTTATAAACTGTCCAGGTGTGGTCTGGAAGAGGTGCTGACCACAGCAGCTATCACTATAGATAGGAACCCATTCGGTAAGAAAACCAGAATACACAAAGTTAAAGAACAAACCAGTATATTGTTATATGCAAGAAAAACGAAAGAATAACAAATGCAAAACAGATAACTCAATATAAGGACGGGTGCAGTGTCTGTGGAACACTAAGGGTTTTCACAGGAAAGCAGTTCGCTCTGGAACTATGTGGGTTTGCACAAGAAAGCAGCTTGCTCTAGAACACTGGTGGATTGTACAGTAAATCGGCTTGCTTTGCCACACTGAGGGTTTGCACAAGAAAGCAGGTTGCTCTGGAACACTGGGGGTTTGCACAGGGAATTGGCTTGCTCTGAAATACTCAGGAGAGCAGCTTGATCTGGAACACCGAGGGTAACTCAGAAAAAGCAGCTTGATCTGGAATACCGAGAGTAACTTAGGAAAGCAGCTTGATCTGGAATGAGGGTAACTTAGGAAAGTAGCTTGATCTGGAACACAGAGGGTAACTCAGGAAAGCAGCTTGATATGGAACACTGCAGGTAACACGGGAAAGCAGCTTGATCCGGACACCGAGGGTAACTTAGGAAAGTAGCTTGATCCGGAACACCGAGGGTAACTCAGGAAAGCAGCTTGATCCGGAACACCGAGGGTAACTCAGGAAAGCAGCTTGATCTGGAACACTGAGGGTAACTCAGAAAAGCAGCTTGATCTGGAACACCGAGGGTAACTTAGGAAAGTAGCTTGATCCAAAACACCAAGGGTAACTCAGGAAAACAGCTTGATCTGGAACACCAAGAGTAACTTAGGAAAGCAGCTTGATCTGGAACAACAAGGGTAACTTAGGAAAGTAGCTTGATCCGGAACACCAAGGGTAACTCAGGAAAACAGCTTGATCCGGAACACAAAAGGCAACTCAGGAAAGCAGCATGCTATGGAACACTGAAGGTAACACAGGAAAACAGCTTGATCTGGAACACCGAGGGTAACTCAGGAAAGCAGCTTAAACTGGAACACTGAGGGTAACACAGGAAAGCAACAAACTCTGGAAGACTCAGAGTAACACATGAAAGCAGCAAGCTATGGCTCACGGAGGATAGTGCAGGGACCAGACCTGAAACAATGCTGATAAACTGGCAAACAAGTAGGGGCAAGTCTAACCTAAAAAAGGAGGAGATAATTACAAGATTTGCCCTGCTGGGAACAGTCACAGATCTTCTGTCTGGGTGCTGCACCAGAGAAATGTAGTGGCACTGTGAGGTACTGCACAAGACTGAAGATAGAAAACATAGAATCGTGGTAGAAACATCTCTGTAAATAAATTAGATTAGAAAAAAAGCTAGCTTATTCATTAATCACTGAATGGGGACATAAGACATTATAGTTAACATATTTATATATTTTGCTATTTTTACAATTTTACCACATGGCAGGAGGTTTCATTCTTTGCATAATCTCTCTTTACTAGCTCCACAGCAGCAAACACATAGAAAAAAAAACAATCACAAAAGACTAGGATGTACATGAGGTATAGTGACCTAAACACTTCCTCTTTCTTTGCTGCTCCATCAAGCACGCAGGTCAGGTTATTACACTTCTCCATTCATTTATGTTTCTATTGCCTCTTCTGAGGTTGTTTCTGTATTATATGTTTTGATATACTTTGCTGTTTGTTCTTGCTGTGCCTCTGTACTATGTGCAGCTGTGTTTTTTCTATGTTATTTATTGTGTTTCTACCGTATTCTTGGATTCTGCCTTCCTTGCTCTCACTTCTCTGGGGCTTGAGGGGCTTTTAGGTCCTACATAATGTTAAAGGACCACTATAGTGCCAGGAAAACATACTCGTTTTCCTGGCACTATAGTGCCCCGAGGGTGGAAGGGGTTAAACTTACCTCTTTCTCCAGCGCCGGGCGGGGGACTCTCCTCCTCCTCGGCTGAATGTGCATGCGCGGCATGAGCTGCGCGCGCATTCACCCAGTCCATAGGAAAGCATTCACAATGCTTTCCTATGGACGCTGGCGTCTTCTCACTGTGAAAATCACAGTGAGAAGCGCGGAAGCGCCTCTAGCGGCTGTCAATGAGACAGCCACTAGAGGCTGGATTAACCCTATTATAAACATAGCAGTTTCTCTGAAACTGCTATGTTTATAGAAAAAAGGGTTAAACCTTGCTGGACCTGGCACCCAGACCACTTCATTAAGCTTGACGGATAGTTGGCGGATCTGGGTGCCAAAACGTTGGGACCCCAGGCACAAGGCATGCTCATTCTTGAGGAAGCTTATTACACACACGTTTATGTTCCCGCTTCCCTCATGAAGACCCAAATCTCCATGAGGAAGGTGTTACGTGGTGAACTCCCTAGGGGGTGTTCTACAGGACTGGTCGACAGTGGTGCTATGTCGCCAACTTTGGCCCATCTGACCCCTGTAACTCGCTATCCCAAACTCTTAGCCGAAGTGGGTGAGAGACAACCTTCTGGTGCCCCATATGATCGGACAGAGGACACTAGATCCCGTTTTCCTCAGGTGAGCATTGCCTGTACTGTCAACAACGTCCACATGAGATACCATCTCTTTTAAGTGGAAAGCATTCACACTTAATAAGGAACCTTCTGCACGTAGACGACTGACTTGCAAAACTGGATATGAAGACACGTCGGTCCTTTTCCACCCCTCTTGCAGACGTTATCTATGTTTCCTGTACCGTGATCAACCTTGGCACTTCACCTGCCTCCTCAGCTCGGATCCTTGGGGCTTCATGTAACTACTGAAACCAGTGATCAATTACATATGGGGACTGCGTTGCATTATTTACCTGGATTATACCATTCTGCTCGTTTCAGAGAATTCAAGATTGCGTCAACATTTGCGATTTTTCATGGTCCGACTGGAATTGTTGTGTTTCGTAGTGGCTGGTCCACTTCTTAGGATTCGTAATCAACTTCATGTCTGGCACCCTGGAGCTTTCCCCTTCAAAGGTCTCCTCTATCCTCAAGGAAATTTGCACGGTCCTCATGGATTGTGAGCTACTGCCCTCCTCCATCCAGACTATCTTCCCAGATCCGCTATGTTACTGACATGCAGCGCTTCCTAGTAAGGCTTCCTCAGGCGAACAACCGGACTTCGTTCTGGAGTCGGATACCAGCTTGTGGTGCTGCGGTGACAACTTGCGAGAGCGCACCCACAGAAAGTGTGTGCACAACTCGGGAATTCTCCCTTCACATTGAATACCTGGAATTATTAGTGGGTTCCTTCACTATCCGCAGACTGGTAAAGGAGTACTCCATTTGTTGCATCCTACTCTGGATGGACAGAACGACGGCAGTCAGGTATATCAATCGCCTAGACAGAGCCAGCTCCCATGTCCTATCAGACATCATAAAAAGGCATCTTCGAAATCTTCCTTCCTCGCAAGGCTATTTCCTGGGGGAGACACATCTCAACACGGATTAGTTCTCCAACCTTCAGAGGTACCACCAGAATTCAGAGTTTTTCAATTTGCTGCCAGGTCCGGAGTGCACAATGGTGGTCGCATTCCTGTCAGCTGGACTTCCCGGGGGGCGTATGCTTTTCCCTCCTTCACAATGATTGCGAGGATTCTGTTTCCTATCTGGGCCAAATGGTTCTTATCTGCTGTCACATTTTATGTTTCTATGTTTCCTACATTCATAACCGACTCTTCTTACGAACTTGAAGGGGAACCCATATCTTCTATTCCTGGAGGGTACGCTGACACTGGTGACCTGTACTCTTTCTGAGGTTCTTGGCAGATCGGCATACTATCGCAGGCTGCTAGGCACCTCTAAGGCCCCAGGGACACGACAATGCTACCTCTCCATCTGGGCATTCCTGGTCTGGTTGGTGTTTGGAATGGAACTTCGATCCATTATGTGGTGAGTTCAGGCAGTTCAACGGCCTGTGTCCTGGTCTGGGGACTCCTGATGGGCAAGATCCTCTTATGTACCAACTACACAGTGACATCCACCTCCGGCTTATGGGATGTGGAAATTGTTCTCAGATTATGTACCAGATGTTCGGGGGTTCGACGTGGATGTTTTTTCTTTATTTCCCAACAGTCTATGTCTCTCGTTGCACTATTTGGATTCTTCATTAGTTTTCTATTCCTTACTCAGTGTTAAAATTGCAAAATATGAAGCCTCCTGTCATGTTGTAAAATTGAAGATTATACTAGTTTAAGTGTACTAATAATCTTAATTTTAGTAATGACAGGAGCCGAGTATTTTCCCACCCTGCTTTGCTATCCCACCCTTTCTGTTAACTTTCCTTATATGTCTCACAGGTCTAAGGTAGGTTGGGCTCTTAATGTTATGTGTTTACATTGATGTTTATATTCCCATTGGCTTAGTATTGCGGACGGCGAACAAACATAAACTTTGACCCTGTACCTCACAGTCAGCAGACACATTCCAGCCAATCATCAGCAGACCCTCCCTCCCAGACCCTCCCACCTCCTGGACAGCTCACTAAGAATGCAGCTTCACAATGAATGTAAAATGGATGCTGTCCAGGAGGTGAGAGGGGCTGGGAGGGAGGGTCTGCTGCTGATTGGCTGGAATGTGTCTGCTGACTGTGAGGTACAGGGTCAAAGTTTACTCAATGATGACATAGAGGGCGGACCGAACAGCGCATATGTTCGATATCCGCGGCAAATCATTCGGCGAATCGTTCGGTACATCACTAGTAGTTATATGTTAAAATGTTTTAAAAAATATAATGAACGCATTTCGACAAATTGAAAAGCCAAGCAATAACTGATAAATGTGAATTGCGCAATGTGGTACTACCAAGAAACTTGAGTGAAATTACATGATTCTGGCAAGTTCTGATATGCACCATGTATGTGTCAAATGCTTCATTCAAAAATAAAGTATTTAAAAAAAAAAAAAAATTACGTGAGAAAAATAGTCAGGAATCTGTCATATTTAATGTAATATTCACAGATCACAAACGTATGTAGGCTGCTACACCATATCCACAACTATTAACTTAACACATTGGTTAGGGATGAATGTTGAAGTACACACTTTATTATTTAGAACTTTTATTCATAACAACAACATACTACACAGTGCCATATAATACCTTCAACTTTTAAACCCCATTCTTGGGCAGAACCCAACTATTGTAACACCGACATCATGACTGTTGCCATATGAATTTTGTGTAAATCCAAGTTTCTTACTTACTAGATGGCTGTTTTCATATCTACAAAATGTGTGTTCTTTTTGTTTTGTAAAATGTTTGTTTTTTGAGTATTACTAGTACTTTAACTAGAAATCCATTATATTCTGCAGTGCTGTGCATTGTTTATGTAGGTTTGGGGTTAATAATATGTTAGTACATTCCCTAGGATGTGGTTTGTGGCTAGAAAGGGTCAATCAGTTTGCCTGCTGGCTGGCTGGCTGGCTATCAGACGATGTTAATGTAGTTCCTGAAAGTAGAGCTGTAGATTGTGGCTAAACAAATTACATCTGGATAGAGGGAGGACTAGAAAACTGGGGAGGGTGACAGAGGAGGAGGGCTCTGGTACTGCACAGTAAGGGCTCTGCACTACACACAACGATGCAGGTCACTGCAACAACCTCTGACACACAGGGACAACTCTACACAACCACACATCACACTCCATGACATCATATCTCTGCACAAGATCACATTGTCCCTTTATCTCCACATAGCACACATCACACAGAGCAGCACTGGATAGCTGCAAAGCAAGCAACAGATACAGCAACTACAGACTATAGGCAGAAGTTCTTCCTGTGGACTTTGAAAGTAAAGTTTAGTACGGTAAGTGTGTGGGGAGCAGAGAGGAAGAGAGGGGGAGAATCTGTTCAGCGATTCAAAAGGCAACGTTTTTCTAAACTAGAGCATTAAATAAACTTCTAGTAAATTATTTCATCGTCCTATACAGCATTCCCTTTTGAAGGCTTTAAACACTTTCTATCTGATTAACCTCTTCATCGGCAGCACAGGAACCAGGATTACTCTTCATGCAAACCTTGTCTGTATTGTAAAATGATGTGTTAAAATGTAACACAGCTTTATCTGCATTTTTTGTATTGCAAGTTATGTGCATGCAATTACCAGCGACAGATGTAACCTAAGTAGTATTCAGCCATGGGATACAAAATATGATTTCTTTAATTAGTTGATTATATGTGTGTGAGCCATCACTTTGTGTGATCAGTACAATGTTTATTAATATAAGGCCAAAGGATCCAAAACTGAAAATACATTTTAAACAAAATTTCTGCAAGGCCTTTGCCAGTTCTATACATTTCCTGTTCTATTAACTAATTCCCCCACCCCTTATAGTTAGGAATAAGTTGTCACTTTGCAAACAATGGTAACAAAATCTATAGTTTTCTAAATCTATTCTATCAAGATGCTAGTTTAAGTATACATGCATTATTTGTGCTTCACGAATATTTTGTGCATTCTGTCCTGCTTGTATTCTGTAATTTGGTGTGTGCTGTGATCTTGGAGGACACAATGCTTTGAATTTAGCTTTGGAATTATTGGAAACATCACACTTCAAATGTGTTCAATTACTAAGAGCTATATTGTATTTTAAAGGAACACTATATGTTAGGAATACAAACTTATATTCCTAACACTATGGTGCCTGCAACTCTAGTCCTATAGAGCCCATCCCCCTCATTTTAAAATAAAAATTAAGAAACTGAAGAATTGCTCACCTTTTTCCAGGTGAGTTGTTTGCTTCCTCGGAGCCGCACACCTCTACGTTGTGTGACCTCCTCAAGCATTGGTCTGAATTGGGGATGCGAATCCAAGCTTTGTCATAGGAAAGCATTGTTATTCAATGGTTTCCTATGAGCTTACCAAGTTTTACTTTATGTTAGTTTTGCAGGAAGACGGCAATAAGAGGTAGATTTAAACCTGCAATGTAAACATTGCACTTTCTATAAAATTGCAATGTTTTACATTGCAGGGTTAAAAGGACAGCGCCACTTCATTGACATGAAGCCGTCTGGGTGACTTTAGTGTCCCTTTAAGGATTTTGGGTGTATTTAGTAATACACATAATTGTGAAATATACTTGGCAGGTAACTTTAGTGGTTATTTATGAAAATCATTTCTAGGGCAAAGTTCTAAATTGGCAGCAAAAGCCATGAATACCAATGTAATGTTCCTATTCACTGATGCACTTTACCAACTTTACTCCAAAATGTCTCTTTATACATAAGCTCCATAGTTTCCAATTGTTATTTTTGTTTTCTATACACATCATAATTCCTCTCTGCATCATTTTTTTCTCTCTCTCCACTCACACTGTTGCTACATTGGGAAGCAAATGCCATATAAAGGCTTACTTTTTATATGTGTGCTATGTATGGGGCTTTGTGTACATGGTTGCACTTGGATTTTGCTGTGTAGCCATTGGCATTGGAGTGTTTTCCAGCACCTGGCCACTGGCAGTTAGCAGCTGTGTTGTGCCAAGAAGAGAAAAACTGGGACCCTCCCAGCTGTCAATGTATTGGACTCAACATATGTCCACCCAAAATGTTCAGACAGCTGCAGAGAGTGAAAGGACTTTGTTGTTGTGCTCAATACAGAACCTGCTAAACACGTTTATTTTTATTAACACAACATAGTGTGTTTCTTTAATCACATTAAAACAAAGATTGCACATTAAAAAAAAAAAACCTAAAGAAGTCAGCATCTACCACCATTGGGTAACATGCAGAACCATAGACCCATGTAATCAAAACAATAGCTACATTACTACATTACAAAAAGTAAGGTGACTGCAAAGAGGAGGTGTGTGTAGTTGATATATATATATATATATATATATATAAAAATCTCTAACTGTCAATATATGGACATATTTTCCTGCCAACCCTGATCCATAAAGCAAAAGGTGCTCATAACATTATTGATTTTATACTAATCAGTATGTTGATGTATAAACACTTGTCTTATGAACTTTGGTCTATTATAATTTGTGGAACTTGAACTTTAAATTGTGGGCATACATTATCCAGTGTGATATATGCAGTCCATATGAGTATATTATCATTATCATTGTGTAATCAGCAATAAGGGTACCCTGTTACTGTCAACACAATAATATACTTTAGTCCACAAAGGGGCTAATGTGTTTTGTCTTTGAAACTCCAGAAATCTAGATTATGTGCAGAACAGTCAAGATTGTGTTTATTGATTGATTCAATTTTAGATTGCATCTACATTACCTATATAGTGGAGAATTATGGAACATATAGTCAAACAACAGCTTCAGGAAATTAGCCGTTTGCTCATGCTTTATACATTTATGTCATAGACTCTGGTGTTTAATTGACAGTTGTTATAATTCTAGATATGTGCCTTTGATATCTGCATGCTTCACTTATGTTAAAGGGACACTCCGAATCCCTAAAGGACTTTAGCTAGATGAAGTGCTTTAAGGGTTAACAGCATGCCCTGTTTGTCTAACTTTCTAAAAGTGCCAATCTCAAGAGAAATTAAAATTTTTATAAAACCCCAAAACTTGCCTTCCTCATGTACTTTAGACGCTCGCCCAAAGCAGACATGAGGGCTCATAATAGAGAAGCATTGCAAATGGATTGAGATGTCCCTGTGCCCTTTGTTTATGAGAAGCATTGGATTGGCTGGGAGCTCATCACCAGTGATGATCTTCTATAGGTGGAACAGAATCCTAAATCGAAAACAAGAACATTCAATTTCTAGGAATCAATGCATACATTAATGTGTTCCTTTAATGTGTTTTAATGCAATATTGTTTACTAAACAATGCAAACTAGAGTGTATAAACTGAAACAGTGATATGAATGGAGCATCTCATCCTGGTGTGGAACAGGCCCATTATATGTAGTGCATGGCGCAAACACTTAACAAGACATGCATTTTTATTTACTTACGGCCTTTTTAAAGCATTATCTATTTGATGCATGAATTTTTTTTTACATTTTAGCTAGACTGACCTTTTAAATTAATCTCTAAATTAATCTCATCCATCTATCCATCCTTCCAACCTGTCTGTTTCTTCGTCTCAAATATCCTATAAGTCATCATTTTTTTTTATAGTTGCTTTGTATGTGATTGGGTGGTTTTTCTATTGGCTTTTGAGGAGATTTCCTGCATAAGAAAATAGATTTTGAATATCGATGGCAGTGCTTGATCAAATCTGCTTTTTACATTTCTGTTTTTGTAATTGCTAAACAAAGAAGTCTGTTTATTGAAAACTGAGTTGACGTGAGCTGACAACTGACTTTTAAAATGTAGGTTAAAGCAGCTTATTTTTTAAAACAAAAACTTACTATATATATATATATATATATATATCCACAAATAACTGCTTAGTTAATAAAACCCTTAGCACTGTTATAGTAATGTATAGTTACAGGCTCTGTCAGATTTCTTTTTGAATATCTACAGAGGTTGGTGAAAACAACATGTCTTTGAG